GTTACCTGTCGTTACCGTTATAACCCTAGCTCATCATTAGACCTCCAAAATCCTTTTCTTTTACTCAGAGTTGCTAACATTTTAATACGTATCATTAAATACGACCCACAGGCACTCGTACCTTTTGCCATGTGCATCCATTAAACAAAAAGTGCCACATGGCTCACCTGAGTAACTTTGGCCATTCTGTCATTTAACAGATTATCTCCTTTGTAATACACTTGTATCTATCATGACCTTGACAAGCCCAAAGGGTCATGATTCCAACAATTTAGAATCTACACTACCTTAGGATGCTTTCACATATGTTTCAGCTTTTCTGGCTTAGTGGTTCTTGAAAAGAAGATTTGTAAATTTTTTTCCTATACATTTCTTTGTAAAACTTGGATTCCCTATTGTGGCCCCGTCCTACCCCCAGAGGTCATGATTTGAACAATTTAAATTCTACACTACCCCAGGATGCTTCCACATAAGTTTCAGCTATTCTGGCCAAGTGGTTATTGAGAAGAAGATATATTTCTTTGTAAAACTTGGATTCCCTATTGTGGCCCGCCCTACCCTCGGGGGTCATGATTTGAACAATTTAAATTCTACACTACCCTGTATGCTTCCATAGAAGTTTCAGCTTTTCTAGCCCAGAAAAAGATTTTAAAAGAATTTTCCTCTATATTTCTTTGTAAAACTTGAATTCCTTATTGTGGCCCCGTCCTTCCCCCAGGGATCAAGATTAGAACAATTTAGAATCTACACTATCCCAGGATGCTTCCATAGAAGTTTCAACTTTTCTGGCCCAGTGGTTCTTGAGAAGAAAATTTTTCAAACATGCCACCAAAATTTTACTCTTTATTAATTATCTCCCCTTGGAAGGGGACTTGGCCCCGTATTTTAACAATTTTAATTCCCCTTCACCCAAGGATGTTTTGTACTAAATATTGGTTAAAATTGGCCCTGTGGTTCTTGAGAAGAAGTAGGCAAGAGGCCCATGGGCCTTATAGGTCATCTGAGCATCATGCAACAACTTTCCAGTCTTCACGAAAACTTTTCAAACTAACTGGCCAGTCGGACCAGTGAACTTTCAAAATTTACTGGCCCACCAAAATTTTTACTGGCCCCTTAATTATAAAATAAAATACATTTTCATAACTGTTAATTTATACATGTTTACGTACTTCAACTTTTGAATGCCGCCATTTTTCGTCCTTTGTCGCGTTTCGGTAAGCTGTTCGTTTGAAATTTGCACATTTTACGTACTAGTTAATAATTACTAGCTAGTTCCGGTTGTTACGTAATACATCCATGTTATAATAGGGTTACAATAAATATGATTCAACAACACGTGCTTGTTCTTTTTATATTATATATCAATGAAATTTATGCAAGTAAGTTAAGGTATATATTGACTGTGTATGATTTTTAGAATCAACAAGCCCATCGGACTTCTTGAATTTTGATTTTCACTGACCTGACATAAAAATTCACTGGCCTCGGTCTTCGGACCAGTGAGTTTTCGTGAAGACTGACTTTCCAGTGATTGAATTTGGTCCATGTTTTAAGCTACATAATGAAATTCACAATTTTGAAAGAGGCACCATTGCTCATCATAACTATACACTTAGCAATTGCTTAGTTTGGCTACCTAATACTCATAGGGAGGGTAGGATAACAAAAATGCATTTCAGCTAATCAGTAATATTCAGCAATAATCAGTAGTGCCCCTACCACACATAGGTTTGTTCCCGTTTTGCACACATTTAAATTACAGGTAATTAAAGAATGTGTGAAAAATGGGAATTAGACCAGGTGAGATAATCACTTAATTGCTATAGTCTATACCATACTAAGTAAGTAGGTTAAAGGTGAACTTACAGTGAAAAAATAAGAGAATAAATACAAAGTTTATGTATTTAATATAGTCACTTTGATGTTATAATTATCTGATGATCTTAAGACCTTCTGGGCTTGGGCATTATTTTCAAATTAATTTTTATTCTCAATTTTTTTTTTGTATCTTTAATTCATTTAGGATTTTATCATGATTGAAAAGTAAAAAGATTGAAAAGTATCCTTTTCTTAAGAAATTGGATTTAAAAAAATAAATATTAATAATTTATTTTACAAAATATTCAATAAAATCACATTTTTTCCATGAATATATATAGAATTTTAATATAATGCTTATAAAATTGTATTAAACTTCTTAAGAATACATTAAGCTAAATCAGGTATTCACAGGTAAATCCAGGTAAATCCTAACCAGAAATCAGACTATAATTGCTATCAAAACACACTTCACACCTATTGTTTATACCTAATTATCAAATGTGTGCAAAACGGGAACACACCCACACATAAACCCTGACCCTAGGTCCACACATTGCACAATTTTTAAAAGGCGACCCTTGCTTAAGCCAGCATTTTTTTATTTTTAGGTTTACGAACATCTGAATGAAAAAGTCCCGTAGGAGGAGGAAATAAAAAAAAAAAAAAATTATATTTTGGATACATTATCGACTTTTCTACATTAATTTTTGCTTCTTTTTTTTATGCTCTCCTAACAGGCTTCTTGCCACTGGACACATAAGGGTTACAAAGGGGAAAATACAACCTTAAATTGTTTATTTCATCATCTACCAGTTGGGGGCAGTGATATAAATCTTTTGATGATGGACAAAATACAGATTTTTTTAAAAAAATCAATTTTTTTAAATCTCTTTTAATATATCTTCATTTTTGTTTTTAATGTGTGTTAGGTAGAAATTATTCTAAAATATTAATATACTTGAGACCTATAAAAGTAATAATTCCTTTCATAAAACAGACAGGGAGTACTCCCAAGGAGTATTGAGGAGTAGGGTGGAATTTTTTTCAATTATTAATATCAAAAATGTTTGATTAATATACCAAGGAGCAGATTTCAAACAATTAGGCCTAATTCATTTTCAGTATATAAGTAGAGCCCTCCTCCCCCCTCTATGGTACCCCTGGGGCCTTGAAATTCACAATTCTGGAAGAAGGACCCTTAAGCTTGCTCATCATAACTATATAGGTAGTTCATCTGCTTAATACCCAGGAGCATAGAAGAAGATTTTCAAAGAATTCATGCATTTTTACTATACAATCAATAGATCCCCGCCCTAACACCAGAACCACTGACCCTGGGGCCATAAAATTCACAATTTTGGAAGAGGCAGCCTTATTCAACATAACTATGTATTTGGTTTGTTTATTAAATACCCAGGAGCAAAGAAAAAGATTATCAAAGAAATAGTGCATTTCCACTGTATAATCTATATAGCCCCACCCTAGCACCGAAGAACCCCTCACCCTGGGGCCATAAGATTCACAATTTTGGAAGAGGGAGCCTTATTCAACATATTAACTATGTATTTGGTTTTTGGTTTGTTTATTAAATGCCCAGGAGTGACGAAGATTTTCAAAGAAACAAGAGGCCCATGGGCCACATCGCTCACCTGAGTAACTTGGGTGATGCAGTTCTTTACCAGATTTCCCCTCTTGCTATACCTATCATGACCCCTACCCCCTCCCCTTTCATGATTTTAATACTTTAGAATCTACACTACCCAAATTAGGATGCTTCCACATAAGTTTTAGCTTTCCTGGCCCCGTGGCTCTTGAGAAGAAGATTCTTAAAAGACTTTTCCTACATATATCTATGTAAAACTTGGATTCCCTATTGTGGCCCCGCCCTACCCCCGGGGGTCATGATTTTTACAATTTAATATCTACACTACCCAAGGATGCTTCCACATAAGTTTTAGCTTTCCTGGCCCAGTGGTTCTTGAGAAGAAGATTTTTAAAGATTTGTTCTACATATTTCTATGTAAAATTTGGATTCCCTATTGTGGCCCCACCCTAGTGGTCTAGTGGTTCTTGAGAAGAAGGTTTTTAAAGATTTGTTCTATATATTTCTATGTAAAATTGGATTCCTTATTGTGGCCCTGCCCTACCCCCGGGGGTCATGATTTTTACAATTTAATATCTACACTACCCAAGGATGCTTCCACATAAGTTTTAGCTTTCCTGGCCCAGTGGTTCTTGAGAAGAAGATTTTTAAAGATTTGTTCTACATATTTCTATGTAAAATTTGGATTCCCTATTGTGGCCCCACCCTACCCCCGGGGGTCATGATTTTAACAATTTAATATCTACACTACACAAAGATGCTTCCACATAAGTTTCAGCTTTCCTGGCCCAGTGGTTCTTCAGAAGAAGATTTTTAAAGATTTGTTCTACATATTTCTATGTAAAACTTGGATTCCCTACTGTTGCCAAACCCTACCCCCAGGGGTCATGATTTTTACAATTGAATATATACACTACCCAAGGATGCTTCCACTTAAGTTTCAGCTTTCCTGGCCCAGTGGTTTTTGAGAAGATTTTTTAATGACCCCACCCTATTTTTGTCTTTTGTTGATTATCTCCTCTTATAAGCGGACTTGGCCCTTCATTTTAACAATTTAAACTCCCCATCACTTAAGGATGCTTTGTACCAAGTTTGGTTAAATTTGGCCCATTGGTTCTTGAGAAGAAGTCGAAAATGTGAAAAGTTTACAGACATCATGCAAGAACTTTCAAGTGATAGTGATTGAATTTGCTTCATCATCATGACATGTTTTAAGCTAGATGCTATGGCATTCACAATTTTGAAAGAGGCACCATTGCTCATCATAACTATACACTTTTTAATACCCATAGGCAGGGTAGGGGAACAAAAATGCATTTCAACTAATCAGTAATATTCAGCAATGATCAGTAGTGCCCCTAACACTGTGACATAAACCCGTGACCCTAGGTCTACACATTGCACATTTTTAAAAGGCACCCTTGCTTATCAAAAAATAATGTTTGATTAATACAAAGGAGCACATTTGCTTAAACAAATAATTTAAAACCAATTGAAATTTACAACTTCATGTATATTACCGATATGTTTCTCCTGTGATAGAAACTAACAGTGAGTACCTGTACATTTCACTTACCTGGTTGATAATGAAAGGAGGCACCATTACAATAATGGCACACCTTGAACTGGTGATAGATTTCTGACAGGTAATCTTGTAATATCACAGAAATGCTGGGATCCTCGAAAAAATCCATCTTCATTCCGATCACAGTTTTAGCCGCCCAGAACTGGAGGGACTTGGGATTTCTATCAGAATCACGGTGAGCACCTTCAGAGGGGATGATGCGGTACCCCACATCCGTGTGGTACCACATGAACGTGGACTTAAAATAATTGTGGTTGCCATGACGATGGACAGTCCGTATGGCTGGCATTTTCAACAAGAAACCTGGCAATGCATCTAGTAGGTTATTGTCCAACATGAGAGTTTTCAGTTTACGACAGAAAGTCAGAGAGTAGGGGATTGATTGCACTTGTAATTTGTTGTTTGTTAAGGCCAGAAATCTCAGATTCTTCATTCTGCCAACGTCAACAGGGATTTTATCCAGGCAGTTGTATTTGAGGGACAACAGTTTCACATTGGGGCACTTGAAAATCTGAAAAAAAATAATTAAGTTTACTTCATTTATCATTGACTTCTTCTCATTTTACATATACTTTTTGTATTTATAATTATCATAAAACATCCAATTACAATTAAGTAAAACAAAATATATGATCTATAATTAAATTCTTTTGGAAGCATTCACTCATGCTTAGCAAACTGAAATATCAGCTTTCAATTGGAAGTTCCATTTTTTAACAATGATTACAGATTCAGTGAGGAATTTTAATCTGTTGTCAATACAAAAGGACGGTACATTGGTGTCTTAATATCATCAATGTTTTTATGTTATTAAAAGGGAAGAAATGGATGACTAGCATTGTCTGCAGGTTAAATCAGATTATATGCACTTATATATAGCCAGGTTATATTGAAATGAGACCAAAACTGTAGGAAAAGTGGCATTTTGAAAAAACCAGAAGTCTCTGTCGAGACTGAAGCTCTACTGGTTTGTACTTATAGCAATGGAAGAGAAATGTACTTAAGCAGTTGGGAATTGAAACTTTACAACAGCAATGAATAGAATAATGATCCTTGATAAAGTCTCTTTATGTTCTTAGTGTAGTCTACTTGTGTGCCAAGTTATATTGAAATCAGACCAAAACTGTAGGAGGAGTAAAGCATTTTGAAACAATTTTATAGACGTTTTTATTTTTAATAACCACAGCAACACCATTCATGGAAATCAAAAACAGATAAACAGAATTATGTATCTTAGTGTAAGTCTACTTGTGTGCCAAGTTATATTGAAATCAGACCAAAACTGTAGGAGGAGTAGCATTTTGAAAGAATTTCACAGAAATTTCTATTTTTAGTAACCACGGTAACACCGTTTATCGAAATCAAAAACCGATATACAGAATTATGTATCTTAGTGTAGTCTACTTGTGTGCCAAGTTATATTGAAATCAGACCAAAACTGTAGGAGGAGTAGCATTTTGAAAGAAATTTCTCAGAAATTTCTATTTTTAGTTACCATGGCAACACCGTTTATTGAAATCAAAAACCGATATACAGAATTATGTATCTTAGTGTAGTCTACTAGTGTGCCAAGTTATATTGAAATCAGACCAAAACTGTAGGAGGAGTAGCATTTTGAAAGAATTTCACAGAAATTTCTATTTTTAGTAACCACGGCAACACCGTTTATCAAAATCAAAAACCGATATCTTAGTGTAGTCTACTTGTGTGCCAAGTTATATTGAAATCAGACCAAAACTGTAGGAGGAGTAGCATTTTGAAAGAATTTCACAGAAATTTCTATTTTTAGTAACCAGGACAACACCGTTTATAGAAATCAAAAACCGATATCTTAGTGTAGTCTACTTGTGTGCCAAGTTATATTGAAATCAGACCAAAACTGTAGGAGAAGTAGCATTTTGAAAGAATTTCACAGAAATTTCTATTTTTAGTAACTCCGGCAACACCGTTTACCAAAATCAAAAACCGATATACGGAATTATGTATCTTAGTGTAGTCTACTTGTGTGCCAAGTTATATTGAAATCAGACCAAAACTGTAGGAGGAGTAGCATTTTGAAAGAAATTTCTCAGAAATTTATATTTTTAGTTACCACGGCAACACCGTTTATCGAAATCAAAAACCGATAAACAGAATTATGTATCTTAGTGTAGTCTACTAGTGTGCCAAGTTATATTGAAATCAGACCAAAACTGTAGGAGGAGTAGCATTTTGAAAGAATTTCACAGAAATTTCTATTTTTAGTAACCACGGCAACACCGTTTATCGAAATCAAAAACCGATATAAAGAATTATGTATCTTAGTGTAGTCTACTTGTGCGCCAAGTTATATTGAAATCAGATCAAAACTGTAGGAGGAGTAGCATTTTGAAAAATTGTTTACAGGCAGACGGACAGACAGACGGACAGACGGACGGACGGACGCCGGACGCATTACTATCGCATAAGCTCTTCTGGTCTCTGACCAGTAGAGCTAAAAATTAAGATAGACAGTCAGTCAGATGGACAGTTAGACAGACAGATGGATAGATGACTGAAATCTTACTATCACTTAAGCTCTTCTGGTCTCTGAGCAGTAGAGCCAATAATCAGGTTACAAACAAAAGGCCCAGGGGCCACGTCGCTCACCTGAGCACATCGGCTAGGAAAACGCACAAATCAGATCAGAATTGAAAAGTTTACTAAGGGGGTGGAGTGGGTATGGGTGGGGCTTGTACTACTTGAGAATGCCTCCAAATCAATTCTACATATAACTTCTAGAGAAAAAATTTTTTATAGTTTTTTTAAACATTTTCTTTGTATATACATGTATTACTTTGTGATAATTTGAATTTGACTCCCCATTGTATCCCTCCCTACCCCAAAGGGTACTCATGATTTGAACAAATTTAAATCTTCAATACATGAGGATGCTTGCATGTCAATATGACTTTACATAGCTTTTCTGTTATTGAAATTTTTCCCTTTATTTTCCTATGTAAAACTTTGATCCACCATTGAGACCCTTCCCTACCCTTGGAGATTATGATTTAAACAAATTTAATTCTACACTACCTAAGGATGCATCCATATATATATCACTAATCATGGATTTGTTATTCTTTAGAAAAAAGATATTTTAAAATATATTTAATGTAATATTTGGATCTCCCATTGTGGTCCCACCCTGTTCCTGGGGGGTTATGATTTGAACAAACTAAGAATCTACAGTATCTGAGGATCTTTCCATAAAAATATCACTAATCATGGCTTTGCGGTACTTGAAAAGAAAATTTATAAAGATTTCCCTATATATATTCCTATGTAAAACTTTGATCGCCCACTGTGGCCCCACCTTACCCCCGGGGGCTATGATTTGAACACACATGAATGTACACTATCTGAGGATGATTCAAAGTGAGTTTCATCTTTCCTGTCCCAATGGTTCTTGAGAAGACAATTTTTCAAGATTCTTCCTATATATTCCTATGTAAAACTTTGATGGGCCATTTTGAACCCACCCTTGCCCCGGGGGTCATGATTTGAACAAAGAATCTACACTACCTGAGGATAATTCCACAAGTTTCATCTTTCCTGGCCCAATGGTTCTTGAGAAGATTTTTTAATCAAAAGCCTGAAAGGCTTCAATGGCGTCGAACAAGAAAAACAATTTCAAAAGATCTGCAGATAGGTCAAGTGAGTGACTGCGGTAACATAATAATAAAATTAAACCAGAAGTCTCTGTCGAGACTGTAGCTCTACTGGTTTGTACTGATCAAAAACCGATGCACAGAATTATGTATCTTTGTGTAGTCTACTTGTGTGCCATGTGATATTGAAATGAGACTAAAACTAGAGAAGGAGTAGCGTTTTAAAGGAATTTCACAGAAAATTCTATTTTTAGTAACCATGGCAACATCGTTCATCGAAATCAAAAACCGATGCACTATTTTATGTATCTTAGTGTAGTCTACTTGTGTGCCAAGTAATATTGAAATCAGACCAAAACTGTAGAAAGAGTAGCGTTTTAAAGGAATTTCTCAGAAAATTCTATTTTTAGTAACCATGGCAACATCGTTCATCGAATCAAAAACCAATGCACTATTTTATGTATCTTAGTGTAGTCTACTTGTGTGCCAAGTGATATTGAAATGAGACTAAAACTGTAGAAGGAGTAGCGTTTTAAAGGAATTTCTCAGAAAATTCTATTTTTAGTAACCATGGCAACATCGTTCATCGAAATCAAAAACCAATGCACTATTTTATGTATCTTAGTGTAGTCTACTTGTGTGCCATGTGATATTGAAATGAGACTAAAACTAGAGAAGGAGTAGCGTTTTAAAGGAATTTCACAGAAAATTTTATTTTTAGTAACCATGACAACATCGTTCATCGAAATCAAAAACCGATGCACTATTTTATGTATCTTAGTGTAGTCTACTTGTGTGCCAATTAATATTGAAATCAGACCAAAACTGTAGAAGGAGTAGCGTTTTAAAGGAATTTCTCAGAAAATTCTATTTTTAGTAACCATTGCAACACCGTTCATCGAAATCAAAAACCGATGCACTATTTTATGTATCTTAGTGTAGTCTACTTGTGTGCCAAGTTATATTGAAATCAGACTAAAATTGTAGGAGGAGTAGCATTTTGAAAAATTGTTTACAGACAGACGGACAGACAGACGGACGGACGGACGCCGGACGCATTACTATCGCATAAGCTCTTCTGGTCTCTGACCAGTAGAGCTAAAAAAAATAGTCTTAACACAAATGCAGTATAGGGCCTGGTAGCCTTGTGTCCTGGTCCGAATGAGTCAGGGTTCGAATTGACCAGACATCGTCAGAAATGTCCATCCTCTATATCAATCTAATTTCTTTTCAGTCAATCGAAGACATATGAAGGGTTTCATAAATTATTTTAATTAATTGCCATTGTCAGAGCGTTGTTCTGTTGTATAGTGATTGCATCTTAACTACAACCATGACTCTAATGTTACAAGTACGATCGACTTACGATAGGGCGCGGTAAACAAATGGAGGAAATGGATAAATACAGTAATACTGGTATTACTGGTCAATATCGTCAGTTGTTCGGATAAAATTGGATTGAAGATCGTAAAAGTAAAGCTAAGATTAAGAAATTCAATCTTTTTAGTCTTGTTGTATTCGTGTTTATTTTATAATTATTTTACCGTATTTAAGATTGTTTGTATTACATTAATCGGTCCCAAAATGTAATTCATGTCATTCGACGCACCCTCTCTGTAGAAATTCATCTGCAACAACCATAACGTTTTTCTTGCGTAAAAATTAAACATAATATCGTTGTATAGTAGTATTAATTGAAGATACAATTGATTTAATTTTATATTCAAGCTATTATTCATTTTGAACGTTTTAAAAGAAATTGGTTTACAGCTGTTGCTATTTTCTATTGCGGATGCATCCACTGACACGTGCGGTCGCGTAAACCTGACTGATCGCTAGATGATGATCGGGCAAGCCCGACGCCATAAAAATGCCATTAATTTTTCACTAATTCATAACTATCTCCCCTTAGAAGAGAGCATGGCCATTCATTTGAATAAAATTGAATCCCCTTCACCCAAGGATACTCTGTAGCAAGTTTGGTTGAAATTGGCCCAGTGGTTCTTGGGAAGAAGATGAAAATGTGAAAAATTTACGATGACGACGACAACGAAAACAACAACGACGACGACAGACAAAGGACAAATTTTGATCAGAAAAGCTCACTTAAGCCTTCAGCTCAGGTGAGCTAATAACACATGTAGTATACATACATGTAATTCTCTCAACCAGTAATTAGGTAGTACACGTATTGATAATTCAGAATGTTTCAGATCAATTTGAATGAGGGGATCTAAACAGTAATCAGATTTTACTGCAAACCACATCAGAAAAACAGTATAAAGATTATAGATTTGTTTATTTTCACTGTATTTACCTTTTGTAAAAGGGAAAATATGCACGGATTACATATAATTACACACTTTGCTAGTTACTGAACACAGAAACAAGTACTGGGGTAATCCCCACAAGTAAAATCTTACCTCTTTTGGCAAAGTGTTGTCTTCACCATACTTAAAAATACTATCTAAATGAAACTCTGTGAAGTTGTACGTATTCAAGTAGGTCTTGAGCAAAGTTTCTGAAATGCAAAAAGTATATATGGATTATATGACTACACAAAATTAAACAAAGCATCTTAAATTAAAAACAAGAGGCCCATGGGCCACATCGCTCACCTGAGTAACTTTTGTGATGCAGTTCTTTACCAGATTTCCCCTCTTCTTACATCTATTGTGGCCCCCTAATCCCCCCCCACTCCCCCCGTCTTGATTTTAATAATTTAGAATCTACACTACCCCTGGATGCCTCCACCTAAGTTTCAGCTTTCCTGGCCCAATGGTTCTTGAGAAGAAGATTTTTCTTATTATTTCTCTATAAAACTTGGATTCCCTATTGTGGCCCCGCCCTACCCCCGGGGGTCATGATTTTTACAATTTAAAATCTATACTACCCCAGGATGATTTCACATATGTTTCAGCTATCTTCGCCCACTGGTTCTTGAGAAGAAGATTTTTAAAGATTATTCCTATATATTTCTATGTAAAACTTGGATTTCCTACTGTAGCCCCGCCCTACCACCAGGGGTCATGATTTTTACAATTTAGATTCTTCACTACCCCGAGATGCTTCCATATTAATTTCAGCTTTTCTGGTCCAATGGTTCTTGAGAAGAAGATTTTTAAAGATTTTTTCCTATATATTTCAATGTAAAACTTGGATTCCCTATTGTAGCCCCCTCCTAACCCATGGGTCATGATTTTAACAATTTAGAATCTGCACTACCCCAGGATGCTTCCACATAAGTTTCAGCTTTCCTGGCCCAGTGGTTCTTGAGAAGAAGATTTTTAAAGATTTTTCCTATATATTTCTATGTAACACTTGGATTTCCTATTGTGGCCCCGTCCTACCCCCGGGGGTCATGATTTTTACAATCTAGAATCTACACTTCCCCAGGATGCTTCCACATAAGTTTCAGCTTTACTGGCCCAGTGGTTCTTCAGAAGAAGATTTTTTAATGATCCTATCCTATTTTTGTCTTTTCTTAATTATCTCCCCTTGGAAGGGGACCTGGCCCTTTATTCTAACAATTTAAACTCCCCATTCCCCAAGGATGCTTATAATCCTAGAAATAAAATATATTAAGCCATGACCTGACTCGACAATTTTTAACCCCCCCCCCCCCCCCTTTTAAAATCAAATATCTCCTGAAAAATAATCTTTGTCTTCTATGATCTTTCACGTTCTTAAAATTATAAGCTAAAACTCATATTAATGTGAACTTCAAACAATATGTATTTGGGAGCTGATATTAGTTGATTTTAGGATCATACATTCACTCTTTGCTTTTAAAACAGCTCAGGTGGATTGAAAATAAATTTCAATCTGCGATTTCAATCCGATGTTTTCCCCAAGTCCGCGTCGAATTGTACCCACCCATTTAATTGTCTATCACTGTATGTTTTGATTGTAACAGACAGAAATGATGTAAGCTGTATATTTCCAATTTTGCCAGTTAATGTTCAGCGGTCTTATTAGGGTATTCAAGGGTTGTAAGAAAAGTTCACAGACAAGTTCTACTGTGAGCATGCCTTTTCCACAGGGATTTGAGACAATATTAGCAAAATCGGGTATATACTTAGACAGTATAATAGGGGCTCCCCTATTATACTATATACCCGATTTTGCTAAGATTGTCTCAAGTCCCTGTGGCTTTTTCTACGAAACAAGTTAAACTCTGAAGGTAAAAACTATGCATATTTTCCAATAAATATGCAAAAATTTGGTGTTTTCAGATGATCCATGAAAAATATAAAGCCATTTTATTTAGACAAAAGATGCTTCATGGAGCATACATTGTATATGGCAAATTCGCAACATACCTGGTGCATATTGTAAATGCATTACATTTGGCGTGTACGATATTTGGTGGAGATTCAATTTTCAACAAGTTAGCGTAGATTTGATTTAGCGCTGTCTGAATTTGCTAGTTACAAAAGTTAATATACAAGACATTTAGTGATGTTCTTGAATTAGCGGACTCTGCTTTCCGCCAAAATCGCTAAATAGAATACACTGCTAAATGTAATATGTTTACGGTATTTTCCTACGTCAAGCTCAAGCTTTTTTGCAGTTGCTGACCTATAATTTTTAGACTGGGTAGGTAGGTTGGCTTTTTTTAAAATTATTTTTGGGGATTTTTGTTAGATAACAAATAATATAGATTTTCATAGGCTTATCATACATGAATATAGGTTCCACTCTTTTTTTAAACCACTGATTGATAAAAACAAAAGTCAAAAACTGAAAATTAAACAGTTTCAATAACCTGAAAAATTGAAGAAATTTTTTTTTTTTACAAAATGATTAAAAAAACAAGTTTGGGTCGGGTGCATTTTCAGTAAGTCGGTAGGCAACTGCAAACCAAAATAATTTATTTTAGGCCTTACAGTTTAGTTATGACTACTTAGACAGTGTTTTCATAAATTTAGGAGACCTTAAGTTTTCTGTTAAAATAAATAAAAATGAAAAGTAATGTTAGTGTTGTTTTTTTGCTTTTTTTTTCATTTTGAAATTTTATTTAAAAGATGACAGTTTTGTATTTTTTAACCTTTTGTACAGGACAGAAATCAATTTGCTACATTTATAAATTTCCTTTATATTGAAAAGTTATAGCTGTTTAATTTAATATTTTAACAGTCAACAATCCCTCACTATTTCCCTTACTTCCCTGTAATGTTAGATCAGTGTTTTTACTAAATAAAATCCCTATATACTAAGCAAGTTATATATGGTCATATATTTGACACATGCAATGTGATACATGTATAATAGCACAACTCCACATATCTCTTGACTTACCTCCTGGCCTTCTGATGTTTCCTAACTTCTCTCTATCTAAATCCTGTAGTATGAGTTGTAGGAGATACTTTGGTCTGTTGTGGAGGGCCACTGACAAAAACCACATACTCTGAGGAATGTTCTGGAGAGAGAAATGTATGTACATGCATAAGACACCATGTAGCACAAAAAGATGTGACCTTAAAAAAATATTAGAAAATTTATTGTATGCACTTTTTTTCATTTCCCCCTAGACTTTGGTAATGAATTCTTTTTATAAAAAAACATTTATTCAGTAAGTTATGAAATATATCTGTGACACACTGTATGGTTTAAATATGTAGAAAATTACATATATAATTTATAAACATAATAACTAGTGGTGCAATGTCATCTTGATATCGTTATACATCACGATATAAACCATTTCAAGCAATTTATGTTATTTTCTTTTCGTTTAACTAAAAATTATTTTTTATAATTTACAATTAAACTTTGGTTTCTACTCTAGATCTTTGGTACCCTAAATTCAAAGGGAATGTTGAAAAAAAAATTGTTATCATGAATACTGTTACCTAGGGCTGGGACGATATATCGATATATCGTGATATATGTGAGGACGATACACATATCGATACATTTGAAAAAATATCGAAATATCACCCAAAAAAATCTTACTTCTGTTTTTCTTTGTTTATTTAATATTTTGGGTTTAATATATGAAATAAATAAGTTAAATATAAATATATACATGAAATAAATAATAATTTTTACCACTTTAGTAAAATATTTTTGTTTTACAACATATAAACAAATATTTTTAATAAAATATTCTTATTTGCAAAGAAATAATTTGTTTATTTCAATGCAAAAAAAGATTTTGTAAGCAATTAAACATATTGTGATACATATCGTATCGTGGCTCAAATATCATGATATGTATCGATATAGAAAAAGTTGTATCGTCCCAGCCCTACTGTTACCCCAATATTTGATGTTTTGACAATGAGGTGTGTTGGTTATGAGTCATTTAGACTAAGAGTTGCTGCCAGAGAAAACATTACGTCTAGACAGGAAATATGTTTATAAAAGTTCTTTATCACAATATTTATGTTTCTCACTCGTTGTTTTAACTTGAATATAAAAAGTTTAAAAACACAAAATCTTTAGTTCATCTTAAACTAATTATAAGATTAAGATTTTGATATGTTAGGACATGACAGATTTGAGATAATGAACAAATAGAATATAAAGGTGAGGTAAAAACAGAAGTTGTGAATAAATTTTCTTAATTACAATTAAAAACTATTATACTTACCCCCATCATGAGTAGATCTATGTAGGTATAAGACTCCTGGTCGTCGTTGTCCTTGTTTGCCAATTTTTGCTTCAGCTCTCGCCATTGTTCTGGGTTGTTGTCGAACTTCTTCAGCAGCAGCAACTCAAAGCCATGAAAAATTTCGGCCATTCCTCGGAGATGGATATGTTTAATTACTCCATTATCTTTTTTCTCCGTCTGATATAACCCGCGACGAGGAATACGGAGATAACATAAACATGTTTTTTTTTTTACTTCATCAAAATTGTACTTTCACTTCACAAACTTCATCAAGTTATACAAATAAAAGTCGTTATACTACATCAATTTTTTTTCATTCGAATAAAAGTCAAAAATGTTCTTTGGCATATTTATCACATTTTTAAGTGTCCCTTACAATGCTTTCATTGAAAATATAAATTGGTTATTTTTTACTTTAATTAATTAAATATTTTTTCGAATGATATTTGCAACGAGTTACATAGACTCCAACACCCCCTTCTGGAGAAAGGTAAGGTCAAGCAGAATATTTTCACCGAAAACTTCTTATGAATAGTTTAAATTTGCTTTAGATGTGTGTATTTGACGCAAACAATGTTGTTTTTAATTTAGTGATATTAGCACAATATATTTCCAACCTGTAAGAGTAAGCCATGTCGAAAAGGGAGAAGATATATTTTGTTATAGGCAGAATTTCCTCTGTCATACTATGTTAAACCCTGCTTAGACTTCTTAGTAACTAACAATGTTATTTTGAAAACTAAACAAATATATACAGCACCTGTCTATGATTTTATCTTTACTCATACTGTTTAAGTTTTTAGCATAAATACAACCATTGAACTCTAATTTATGAACAGACAAAAGAAACAGTTGTTTTAAGCATATTTCGATCAGTTTCAAATGGATATAAAAATTCTTGGATATATTGATAATACATTATGCTTGATAATTTAGGGTTCATAATAAAGTAACAGCCATGGCTACAAAGCAGGTAGCAACAAAAGCAAGCGGTGTCCTGGCTGCTGCTGGAAAACCCAAGATTTTCACTGATGCCAAGGGCAGACAATTTATGGTCCTAAAGTAAGTGTAGTAGTGTTGTAGAAATAAGAAAGTCATTGGCTGAATTCTGTTCACATTGTTTTAAGGTATTTCTTGTTTGATATGAAACAGCTTCAAATGCTGCATTTTACTTTCATTTCCTATGTCAGTATGTGGGTGTTGAGTTTAACATAAGATTAAAAAAAAAGATTTTTAGATGGGTTAATCACAATTTCTTTAGAATGTTAAAGATTTCTTTTTGTCCTAATAGTGCATGCAGTTGATATTTTAAATTAGATAAAGTGTAGAACAACCAGTCACAAGATATATCTTTCTTCATTTGAATCATTTCTCTGTAACATTTGTAGATAACTAATTCAATGTTGGTCCTTTTTTATTTCAGAAAAACATTACAAACACCAGATTATTATTTATGGAGACCTAAAAGGCTTACTCCAGTGAAGGGCATGCCAACCCTGTCATCCATGTTACGAAGAACCCCTGTCAAAGACCTTGTCTTTGGTGTCAACAACACATTCTTTTTCCGCTTTGCTTCATATTGGTTTGTGTGGGTATTCCTGCTCTTCAGTTGGGCACCTTTAGTATCACTAAGAGAAAGTAAGTATTAATGGGAGAGAATCTGAAGTTATGAACCCACTATAAACCATGAAAGATTGTAGTCTCTAGACTTTGAAAAAATTAGGTCATATAAAGATGTAAATATTTAATATATCTATTTTGTTCTGCTTAGGAAAAATGTTTTATGGACTAAAAAAGAAATCGCTTTTAATTGTTTAAATGAGGGAAAAAAATGTAAATGAAGTATTGAATTACTTCATCTCTTACTAATGTCATTTAAAGAGTTCTTGAATTAATATTATGGCATAGATTTCAGTTTATTCAAATTTATATCAAAGAATTGATCTTACTGCATTAAAGTACCGTGAAATAAAACTCTACAGTGTGCAGGGTACAAGGACTTCTTTATTATAAATAGGGGAATTCTTGATAAAATGAGAAAATCAGGCTCAGAAAATAAAACAGTTGTTAGAGAGAGAAAAACAGAAAAATCAGATAATCAAAAGTTGGTTCATGGGAGCACTCATAGTAGCAGATGAAAAAAAGAAAGTAAACATCAGAGCAAAGGATTAAATCTACACATTTCAAATATATATATGTGTGTAAATTTTTATGAGTGTATAGAAATGCACTGCTCTAAACAGTAGCAATGTACATGTAAAAAAAAAATATGCAGTGTTATTTTGAAAATGAGGTGTTTGAAACTTTTAACTTTTTTTTTTCATTTCAGAAATGAAGGTCTCTGAGTTACCTGTAAAAAGTAAGTGTTTGAAGAGAGCTCTGTTTCAATTTTATTTAACATAAAATTTCTCAACCAACCCATCAGAGAATTTAAAAATTTTGGTATATCTACAATGTAGTATATTTATTTTTAGCTGCAGAATGGCATCATCCATTAACCTGGGACATGGTCAAAGAAAAGGAAGAAGAACTTAAAAAGCTTGAGGGTGCCAGATATCGTCTATAAGCTCTTTTCCTTTTCTGTTTTCTAGAGGAGAGACTGTGATTAGTAATAAGAAATTACATTATTAAAGTGACGATAGAACTCACAAATTTTTGTGCTGTCTGTTTGGTTTTTTATAGCAGCAATTTAACACAAATAAAAATATAGAAAGCTATATCTTGTATTGTTTTTGAAACCAAGCTTTAAAAAATTTCATACCTTTGTTTCCTTTATAATATGTGACTTTTTTTTTTCTTTTGCTAAATACTGTATACAGGGAAATTTTTGTGTCTGTTTTATTTTGCCCCTTTTGTCCTAGATACAATTTGGTGAATCTTAGAAGGGGCGAATTCAAAAACGATTAACTTTGTAAAACAGAACTTTGACTGGGCTAATTTCAAATGGGCTAGAATTGATTGCAAGTGTGAAGGGGTGAAAATAACATGGTCCAAAAATAACCCAGAATACAGTATTTGTATTAAACTTGTGGTTGTAAGGTTGTGCATTGGCATTATCTGTGTGTTTGTTTGTGTTAGAATTTTAATGTTACAGTACTGTAGAATTCACTTGAACGTTAAGAGTCAGTCATATGGCTTTATTGTATAATTCATTAAGCATTGCAAAGAGAGATACAGTATTTTTACCGTCAACTGATGCAGAACAAAGTTGCTAATATTGTCTTTCATCTTCATTGGTGTGTCTAAAGCTAAAGTCTAACCATGTTTTCCCAGTCTGGATGATACTGAGAAACAAAAGTTGTAGATGTTTGAGATTTGAAGAAACTCAAGACAGTTGAAGAAAAAAAAGTTGGAACACATGCAAACCACTGACATATCCATGGTATTCAAGTTATCAATATTGGAGGTAAGGAAGCACAACTGTACTCAAAAATAACTTGAAACTTTAGTATAGAGGTACTTTGAGTGCTGAGCTCACTAAATGATACCCCCCTTCTTATGTGTATAGTGGCAAAGTCCATGTTTTGCTTTTGGTGACCAAAAATGAGTGTCAGATCAAAAAGTAAAACTATAGGTACTGTGAGCAATGAGCTCACTTATGTACCCCGCCTCCCATATGAATATACATTTGTAGCAGTGTCCATGTTTTGCTATGGACATTCAGCAAATCGAAAGTGGGGAGGGGAGCTAATTGAAGGGGGGAGACTAAACCAACAAAAAAAGGTAAATCCCAATTTTCAATGCCTATATATGTCTAATTTTGCAACAAAAAAAGTGGGGGGGGGGGGGGAAAGCCCCCCCCCCACCCCAGCCCCCTGGTTCCGACGCCTATCTATGGAAAAACCAAATTAGTATTACATTTTATTCAGTGGTATAGGAGGAGTTCAGGATACGTGATACCCTTCAATTTTCTACAAAGAATGGCAGGGAAACCAAAAATATTTGATGAATCAAAAAGAGCAAAATAGGAGGCGCTCAATATTACCAGTATAAACAAATATAATTCGTTATGACATGCATCTTGCATGTCATTGAATGTTTTAGATACTGGCATTGTAGTAAATTAACCCATATTAAAATCAGATTTTGAAAAAAAGGAAATAATTAATAAGTTGCATCATATTTTATAATTTATCTTGCATTGTTGCAACCACTATTGAAATAACGACCACTATTGAAAGAATTATATCAATAGTTGTTGAGAGTGCATTTCAATAGCATTTACAGAGTTAGTAACCACTATTGAAATACGACCACTATTGAAATAATTATATCAACAGTGGTTGAGAGTGCATTTCAATAACAAACATAGTAAAGTAACCACTATTGAAATACGACCACTATTGAAATACTTATATTATCAATAGTGGTTGAGAGTATTGTTGCAACCACTATTGAAATAACAACCACTATTGAAATAATTATATCAATAGTGGTTGAGAGTGCATTTCAATAGCAAACATAGTTAGTAACCACTATTGAAATACGACCACTATTGAAATAATTATATCAATAGTGGTTGAGAGTGCATTTCAATAGCAAACATAGTTAGTAACCACTATTGAAATACTACCACATTTGAAATAATTATATCACTAGTCGTTAAGAGTGCATTTCAATAGCAAACATAGTATGTAACGACTATTGAAATACGACCACTATTGAAACATTTATACCAACAGTGGTTGAGAGTGTATTTGAATAACAGACATAATTTGTCACCACTATTGAAATACGACCACTATTGAAAACAGTATTTCAATAGTGGGTGAGAGTGCATTTCAATACAGACATAAATAGTAATCACTATTGAAATAATTATTTCAATAGTGGGTGAGAGTGCATTTCTATATAATAACCATAGGGTTCAACCACTATTGAAATACGAGCACTACTGATATAATTATTTAATAGTGGGTGAGAGTGCATTTCAAGATGGTAACCATAGGTTTCAACCACTATTGAAATACTGCCAGTATTCAGAGAAAAGTTTCACTGCGTCAGCAACTTTTGAAATAATTATTTAATATAAATTGGATTCATTTTTCAAAGCATCATTGAAATCAATGATTTTAAATTGAAATCTATATGAAGAGCCATTCTCTGTAATGATGAAATTTTATATAGGAGCTGTGGATTGAAATTTTAAACTCTCTATGTCTAAAGTCATTGATACCCTTAACTAAAATCAGGCAAAAATTGGTTGCTATGTTTTATAGTTACCATGGCAACGTGTCTTAAAGTTCGAAAAATGGCATTTTTTAACATGTTTAGAGCCCCATAGTTAACATTTGCAGCAAAGCAAACAATGGCAATACTGTTTCCAAAAGTTGAAGGTCAGATGTCTCAAATGCATGATAAACATGTTTGGTAAATCATCATGACCCGTATGGTTTTGGAATAGATGGGTTAGCTAGATCGTTAGACCTACAGAGACTTAGAGATATTTTATTTTTAGCAGTGTTTAGTACAGACTACAGCATGCCATCAGTTGATCAACACAGCGATTAATCTGTATTGGTATGTTGAAATATCCAATTCTGGCATGTTATCTATGTAAAGAAAAGCAATTTGTTAATTTATTTACCGTATTTTATTTTTTCTAGTTTTGATAGCAGATATGGTAAATGTTCTCTCTTTTTCAGACCCATTTCTAAAAATAAAAAAAGGATGACAGGCGTATTTAAATATTTAGCCAAAATATTATACAGTGCTCCCAGATCCAGTGTGCTATGTGTTCAAAGATGCTATACTACAAAGCGATCTGGACCAAAGCTTGAGTTAACTCTAGCGATTCTCAAGCCTGATGTAACCTCCCGTCCTCACATTGTTGAAGATATTCATGAAATTATCAAAGAAAATGGATTCTTCTTTGTGGCCTCTAAACATTTACATTTGACTCGTGCTGATGCTGAAGAATTCTATAAGGAACATCATGGTAAATTTTTCCATAACCGCTTGGTGAACTTCATGTCAAGTGGGCACATATGGGCTCATATCTTGGCCCGAGAAAATGCTATTGCCCACTGGAGAAAACTTATGGGCCCCACGAAAGTGTTCAGGACTATTCATTCAGACCCTCATTCAATCAGAGGATTGTTTGGACTGACAGACACAAGAAACGTGTGTCATGGCTCAGATTCAACAGACAATGCATTGCAAGAAATCAAGTTCTTTTTTCCAGAATTTGATGCCAGAAAATGGTATGAGGACAATGAACCTTTCTACCACCATGAAAATGTAACATTCTGCAATGAATCCATGGTCCATGTTCTAAACAAAAACCAAGAAAATAAATCTGATGCATGTTAATATTATGGATGATTTTGGCTTTTACATTGACTGAAATAACTGAAATGCATGTAGCTGGTCTAAGGTTATTCCTATCACATTTGTAAAGAAAAAAATATATGTAACAGTGTTTTGCATTAGGTAAATCAATTTATTATTATATATTACATTTGTACATATATATACATACAATTACAAGCAGTATGGCTGTCAGACTTTCTAAATTAAAAAAACGTTGTTAAAAAATAAAATGTAGAAAAATCACAGGAGTCAGCTTTAATACTTTTCACAAAGGGTTCATGGACCTTAAAATGCTCCTGATTATCATAAATTTCTCATGGAAACAAGCTTATTTAAAGAAAACTTTAACTTAAATCTAGAAAATTTAAGACAGCTTCAAAATCAAATGCGAGTCTGGCAGTGACAGTTTCATCTTTAGATGAATCTTCCATGTATGACTTTTAAGGACTTCGGAATGGACCTGCTCCAAAAACTAATGTGTTCATTATTTTGGAAAATGTCAGTCAGATCTTGCTTCCATTGATTCATTATCCAATTTTAATTACCATAAGGCTTATAACAACATTCATGAGAATCCATCCTTACATGCGTCACCCATTCAATTTAATTCCAGATAGGGTGGTTAGTTACTTTAGTTTATAATGATCTACTCCAAAAACTTTAAATTAGTCACTATCCGGAAATAGCTGCAGATCTGTAGCGTAATTGTTTTATTTATTTGTCTTTGACCATAACGCGTGTGTACAGTTCCCGTGATACAAAAAGGTGCAATTTGACGGCGCAATACCTTTTACTGCATGAAAATGTAACATTTTGCAAGAATTTCTCCACAAGAAAATAAATCTAGCATTGGTCAAGCAACTATACCTTTCACTCCCTAATTCTAGACACATTCTGTAGCCATTATGTATATTTTATCCACCTCCCAACCATTTATAGTTGCCTCTACAGTCAATACACTCGCCTGAAGTGAATTTTCAACAATCTTAGAAATAATTTTAATCAAGCGAGTTTATCACTTGTAGAGACGACTATAAAGGGTTGGGAAATGGATAAAATATAAAGATTAGAATGTGTCTAGAATTAGGAAGTGAAAGGTATAGTTGATTGACCAATGCTGAAAAGTGGAGAAATTCTCCTCAAAACTGCGCAATAAATATTGCGCCGTAAATTGCACCTTTTAGCTTTGCGGGATCTGTAGTGTTATGGTCAAAGACAAATACATAAAACCATAATGCTACAGATCTGCAGATAATCCGGAAAATGTAGGTCAGATCTGAGGCAAATCTGGTACTGTACATACCTATAGGTAGATGCATCATTCATGCAAGTTTGTGAATAATACAATGAAACATGCGAGAGGCCGGTATGGTTCTTTAAACTTTGATCAACAGTGGTCATAGAAACCTTACACATAGAAATCCGACGTCAGCCCTCTATCCTTAATTTTGTCTCGTTGTGCTAAAATCTAGTGGGATAAAACACTGGAAGCCTCTCCTTCAACCAAAACTGCTTTGTTGCAAGTTTTGTTGAAAATGGCCGTCTGATTCTTGTGAAGAAGTCAAAAATGCGAAGAAGAGATTATGACAACGATATAAACACAACGGTCAGAAAAGCTCACTTGGCTCAGGTGAGCCAATAAAATCATACTGTTTGGGGACTCGAGAATTACGTATATCTTGAGAGGAAAATAAAATACTGATTGTCAATTTAAAAGCATATAACCATTATGAAAGTTGAGGTCCTCTTGGCCTAGTCGTGCTAGTGGAAAGAATTATTAACAAAGCAAGATTAACTTGGTTTTATTGACAAAACAGAATTTACATCACATAATATTGTTTGATAATGCAAGAAATATACAAGTATGCTCTGAATGCAAGTATTGTAATGTCTGACCCGACGCCAACTGGTTTCTTAAGTTATGAAAAGTGAGGATTTCATTTTGTTTGGACAAAAAAGATTCTCGGTACAGGTAAAATATTTTTCTTTTTTTTAACATACACGTGCATAAAATATATTTGGAGATATTAACAAACAGTATTTCAAGCCCAAAAGTCCATAAAACAATACAAAATAGGAACGGAGCAAACACAGACCTCCAAAACATTAGAGGTGGGATCAGGTGCCATGGAGGAGTGAGCATCCTCTGCCGACAGGTCATATTCGCCGTGTGCTCCTTAAGCTTGTCATGATCGGTAAATAAGTTTAAATGACGGAAAATTCGTCGTCAAATCTGTGTGTAAATAATGACTTAACAATTAGTATGAAAAATGACATTACGTTTATTATTAAGCTTTGTTGTTAGATAACTGTTAACGTCTTTTTCAAGTGAATTATCCAAATATAGACAAGATGTAACTCTGTGGTAAAAATCTCAGCTCACCGGGATATATCGTATAGATCTACATAAGAATGAAAATAAACATTGTTAATTGACAATACGTCATAATGTACAATTAAATTCTTTCACGAACACATGAATATACATCAATACAGATTTCAAAATAAATTTATTTATAAAAAATAAATGCAAAAGTGCATTACAAAACAAAATATAAATGCATGTACTTATTTAAAAAAAACATGAATGCATACAACATTAATATAAAGTGCAGGAGCCAAGGTTACAACTTGCATATATATATACAATGTACATGAATTATTGTAGTTTAATCGTCATGTGTAAATAATATCAGCTCAATTTCTAACAAAGATACATGTGTATACAAAGTTTAATGGGATCGATGTTCCTTCAGAATTTTTTCATCATCCGGGCTTTCGATTTTTTTACCATTCTCATCGCTTGTGACATGGAATGTCCACTTTCTTCACATTCGTATACATCTTCGCTTCGAGCCATTGACGGCGCATGTGCAGCCAGTGTATAGTTTTTGCGTATGTCTGCCATATTGGTGATTTCTGAGTATTTTCTAACATTTTCGCTGTCGTGTCTTAATGATGCTTTATTTTGCATTAATTTATGAGAAACAGCTCCCTTTGACGCCAGTTTTGCGTGTACCACCCGAGACATCTCTTCGTCGTTAATCTCTCTACCAGCCTCCATTTCTCTCTTCACCTCCTCATTCACTTCTTCCATCCACTTTTCGAGGGACATCTCTTCTTTCGCACCACCAATGATAACCTGTGAAAGCATTTTGCTTCCCGCTAGAGGAACGTATTGACCGCCTGTAATGTAGACCAACGCCATGAAGAAATCTCTATATTGATTAATAGCTGGCTCACAACCCACTGAGTACAGAGTAACACCTTTTTCTGCAAGTTCCCTCACTGTTACCATAGGATCCAGCCCTGCTGGGCATCCTTCTGGAAAGTGGTCCCCACTTGGATTCAAACCATGGGGCGGGGCATCAGATATAAGTACACATATCTTTGTGGCATTTTCCCGCCAACTGAGTTTGAGTACGTCATGCAAAGCGTCTGCCACCGCTTCCGGAGTATCACCGCCGCCTTGAGCGCTGCAAGCGTCCAGCCATTTCTTCATTGTGGACACTGATGGGGTGAAATCATGGACTCTTGTGACGAATGTGGAGTCTTGTGGAGGGTGATCTCGGTATTCCACCAGGGCCAGACGAACATCGCTCTTCTCGCCTGCTACGATCTCTTCCACTATTGTCCTAATGTTGTCTCTAGCACTGTTTATGTAAGAGGACATGCTACCTGTCAGAAAATAAGCAACCAGTGAATTTTTGCCAGTAATTGTTTTAGATTATATAAATTAAATACCGGTATTGCAAGTAGTTGAGTGTAACACTGAAAATGTCCACCTTTAAGAAAATCATTGTCAACCTTGGCGCAGTCAGCCGAGGATGGCAATGGTTTTCTTGGGGTGAAATTTTTCAATGTTACACTCAACTATATGCAATATTTATTCATGATTTTAACAATTTAGAATGTACACTATCCCAGGCTACTTTCACATATCGTTCAGTTTTTCTATCCCAGTGGTTCTTGAGAGTATTTTTTTCTATATATTCATAAGTAAAACTCGGATTCCCTATTGTGGCTCCATCCTATGCCCGGGGGTCATGATTAGAATCTATACTATCCCAGAATGCTTCCACACAAGTTTCAGCTTTTCTTACCCAGTGGTTCTGGAGAAGAATTTTATCCCAATATATTTCAATGTTAAACTTGGATTCCCTATTGTGACCCGCCCCTAGTCCTAGATCAAGATTTTAACAATTTAAAATCTACACTATCCCAGGATGGTTCCACATCACTCATCAGTTTCAGCTTTTCTGGCCTAGTGGTTCTTGAGAAGATTTTTTAAAGACCCCCCTCTATTTTTGTCATTTCTTGATCATCTCCCCCTTGTAAGGGAACTTAATTGGCCCTTCATTTAAACAATTTAAACTCCCCTCCCCCAAAGGATGCTTTGTACCAAATTTGGTTAAAACTGGCCCAGGGATTCTTGAGAAGAAGTTGAAAATGTGAAAAGTTTAGAGACAGACGGACGGACAGCGGACAATGGGTGACCAGAAAAGCTCACGTGAGCTTACAGCTCAGGTGATCTGAAAGAGGGTGTTGCAGTTCTTTTGTTATTTTCCCTAAATCTGTGGCAGATTAAAAGAAGAATTTTTATGCTGCAGAAATATTAATTTTTTTCAAATGCAACAACATATAAAGCACAACGAGAAACAATATTTGGAAGGTGTGTATTGACTTCCAATTTGCCATTTAATGAAGTGAAAATTAGTCTTACGGCAAAATATATAAGATTTTCCGTTTTTTAAAATAGAGATTCCCCATTGTTCTGAAAAGGTGCCTCATTGAAACAAAATAATTTTGATATATACACAAGGAGGCAGGAATTTTCCTCAAAACTGCCATTTCCGATTTTTGTTTCAAAGAGGCACATTTTTGAAAAACGCAAAAAATTTAATAAAAATTATTCTTCAAACGAAATGCAAAATGTGTACTTTAAATAACCCACCAAATCAACGTGTCCGAAATGGTCTAGTGGATATGCTGGTGGGCTTCCGACCGATACTTTTACCAGAGAATGGGTTCGAATCCTGATATGCATCATTTTTGCATATTTTTTTCCACATGTAATGGGCAATGAAATTATATATATTTTGAAAGAGAGAGAGGTGGGAGAGAGAATGTCAAGAGGTCAATTAAGTAATTGTATAACTAATTAACTATATATTAGAAATGCAGGATTAAATTGTTTTCCTTGATCAATATTCTATGACTTAAAACTAATGCTTTATTTAGTTACATCTAGGGAAATAAAGTGACTGTATTGTTTAAATAATTATTATTTTTTTAATACTGTAGTTATTGCAATTTTGGTCTCTTAGTAGCCAAGATTTGAATTGAAACCAATAAAATGTCTTGGATGTAGCACTAACAGTGTGATTATGGGACGCAGTTTTATTTCATGAAAAATATTTTCGCACGATATCTACAGTACTAGTATATCTTTCAAAATGCTGCTTAAGCCATTGTACTTTTTGTTGTTCCAACCTCTTTCGTGCAAAATGACGAAAGTGTTTTGCTGTATCAAGCAGGAAATACCCGCCGTAAACATAGTCCTCTACGTAGCTGTATCTATATTTAGACATAACGAGGGTATTTAAATGTCCTTCTCAATATATAGGGAATAATCGCGAGTTTCTGCAACACCCTCTTTTTAACCTTGCCCATAACTTTTGAAAGATTAGGGTTAGGGCTTTCATACTTCATAAATGTAATCCTCGTGCCAAGACCTTGACCTTGACCCTGGAGTTTGGCCTACCTTTAAGAAACTTTAAACTTGGTCATAACTTTTGAAAGTTCTGTTAAGGCTTTCATATTTTAATTATATTTCTTGAGAAAAGGCCTTAAGGGTACCATCAGATTTGATTTGCATCTGAGAAAATATAACCTTCGCTAAGTTGCAATAATGGGGGCATCAGTGTTCCACAAAAACATCCTGTTTTTTTATTTTTAAAAAAGAAAGGTTAGAAACGTCAGACGCCTGTGCTCAAAAGCTATGGACAAGATTAAAGTTTTTTGCGCACAAAATTATATAGAAAACAGATAGACATACAGTTAGACAGACAAACGGACAATGCAAAAATATATGCCCCGATTCTTTGATTATATGAGGCATATCAAATGTATAATTTTTGTATCATAGGAACGTCAAAAATGAAACTAGACCTATGCTTTACTAGCAATATGATAAAACACGACATTTTCATTATGTTCATGTTCCTCTTCTATCGACCATTTCTCCTAGAATTTACACATAAAAGAAATCCATAAATTGGCCTGTTTTACAATTTGTTTAACTCTGTGTAATGTCATCGAGTCATAGAAGAGAGAAAGTCCGAGCCAATTATATTCTAATTTCTATATTTGGACATTATAGCTTGAATCAATTCGTTGTTTCTTGGAATTCATTTTACAACAATTCTTAACAAACATCCTATTCTTGACGAACTTGTTTTCACAAAAATATTACATTAAAAAAAGATACGGACTGTGAATAACCCACTTACCAGGAAGAAAATAGAATTATTTACACAAATATTTACCTGTGCAGTCCATAGCAAACGCCAGGTCCAGGACCGAACTGTCATGTTTTGCCAGCTCCGGCCTCTCTCCTTTCTGATACTGAATACTTGAAGCCATGTTAACTGTTCCGTTCTCTGATTTAGTCTGAGTAGAACTAAATATCTTCGTTATATTTGAAACCTCTTGTTGATTCGGGTATATTGCACCACAACAATTGTAAACACGGAAGTATGACGTATTGTGGCTATATTTAGATATGAGCATTGTTTTCAATGTCTAATTATGTTCCCCAAACGAAGTTGGGGAACGTGTACAAAACTGTTTGTTATTATTATTATTATTATTATTATTATTTTAATTCTTTGGGAAAATTTTGTCCTCGAGTGATCTTGTAAACTACACATCCGACTAAGGTAAAATGTTTTTAGGGTCAATAAATGTTATGTAGATTTAAAAGGTCATTTTGCGCGCATTTTTCATAAGCGCGCACGTGCAAACGTGAAATGACCAATATAATGGATATTGCCGTAACTTTTCTTTTTCCTGATGAATTTTTTTGAAACTCATAATGTAAAGATACATTGGAAATAAAAGACAAGATGGCATGGTCAAAATAGCAAGATCTCACGCGCATGCACGTGCGCTTCGTTCTGATTGGCTGAAACTAAAGTCTCAATATCTTTCTTGTTTCTTGTCATAATCTTTTGAAATTTTGAACATAGTCCTACATTATGAAGATCTACAGCATGATATATGAAAATTTTCATGAAAGGATGCGCATGCGCGCGTGCTGCAATCTGATTGGCTGAAACTTTAAATGGCTATATCTCCTTTGTTTTTTGACGAAATGCTTTGAAATTTAAAACATAGTCATGCATTAGGATAGCCTAAAATATGATATGAAAAACATTCATGAAATCACGCGCATGCACGTGTGCTGCAATCTGATTGGCTGAAACTTTATATGGCTATATCTCCTTTGTTTTTTGACAAAATGTTTGGAATTTTAAAATATAGTCATTCATTTTAGATATCCAAAACAATACATTAAAGATAAAAAATTATGAAATCACGCGCATGCATGTGTGCTGTAGTCTGATTGGCTGAAACTTCAAATGGTTATAAATTGTTTTTCAACCAAACAGGATGGGATTTAGAACATAGATAAATATAAGGGATAAAAGATGTAGTAGAGGAAAACATTATGCACGTGCTTGCACGTGCGTGCACGTGAAATGAGTAAAATTAAAAATAGACTCGAAAGGTCTTTTTTAATACTTTTGGATTAAATGCTTTGATATTAAGTATATTAAAATTTTATATACAAGATAATATGGTCATTACGCACATGAACACGCGTGCAATGCCTATTTTTAAATATATTTTGTATTTTTCTGGGAAGACCTTGATTAAGTCTAAATTCAATAAAGTATTTCTTATTTAATAGAGATTACATGGAATATGGCACCAAAGGGAGTTGGGGAGCGTTTCTACTGACAGTAACGGTCCCCGTTACAATTAGCAAGTTTTAGATGTGATTTTCCCCGATATACGTCAATAGGATGAACGTGTACAAAACGTTGTGTTGTAACTATCCAACATGAAAATTGCCAGGTTGTAATTTTTTAAATTTTAGACTTGCGATTTATCAACAAGGACATGAAAATGTAATATTTAAATTTTTCTTCAATAAAAATACTACTATAAAAGTCGTATATGGCGTATTTTTCATAAGTTCGGATAACAAAAATTAAAAGATCTTTCTATTGTTTTATTACTTCTATATATACAGATCAATCGTAGATATCAAATATTTCAAATATTTAAAACAATGACCAATTTATACCGACTTCACATGGAAATAAAAGACATGGTTTGACAGTTAAAAACTATAGTTCTAAACGCTCTAGATTTTAAATTCAAGTTCAGAATCGGCGAAAATTTGATTTTAACGTAAATGTATCATACACTCAATTTTGTATTTTTAATACGTCATAAAAATCGTTTTAAAATGTCAGTTGTTTTAAATTAATCTCATGTACGAATGCATGGCCATGACTATGACGGATTCATCAGCTTAAGAAAAGAAATTTCCATCGTTATATTTTTATTCCCTGTACATTGAAGATTCGAGGGTATATAGTTTTTGCCCTGTCCGTTCGTCTATTTGTCTGTTTGTCCGCAAAAAACTTTAACCTTTCCAATAACTTTTGAATGGATGGGGTTATGACTTTCATATTTCACAGGTATATTCCTTGTGACAAGACCTTTCTCTGGGTACCATCAAATCTGACCTTTTGACCTCGACCTTGGAGTTTGACTCACTTTTACAAAAAGGAATTGTGATCTTCCGCTTTCGGTGTCTTTGTGGGTGAAATGTCATTATTTATAATATATTGGGTCAAATATGAACGCCCTATCATATGTCATTCAGAAATTATCACCAATCATGAAGATCAAGGTCAAGTGGTCAGAAATCATAATCTGCCATGGAATCTTGCCACAGGTAATGCACATGTCAAATATAAATGCCAGACTATCTCTTCTCAATCAGAAGCTATAAGGAAAAAATAACATATTTGAAAGGCAGGTCAAACTTCAAGTTCAAGGTCACGAGACCAAAAATCTTAGTTATTTAGACGACACACAGTCTGGTCTCGAGGTAAAAAAAAATCATAGTGTTTGTAGAAAGGCCTTCAAAAGGTATAGCTAATTCAAAGTAATGTTTAGTTTTTTAAAAGTAGGTCAAACGTCAAGGTCACGGGTCAAAAATCATAGTGCTTTATTTGTCCGAATTTTCTCAAGCAGAGACTGAGAGAGATGCAATTCTCAGTGCAGCTAGGAGTTTTGCCTACTGTCATGTTGTAAATTTTGAATTTACTGCCATCCGGTAAATTCAAAATTTACATGACACTCTTTTTTTAAGAATTTTAACACCGGGCATAATTTTTGAAAGGTAAGGGCTAAGGTTTTCATACTTCACGTATGTTATCCTTGTGACAAGACCTTTCTTTAGAAACCAACAACTTTGACCTTGACCCTGGAGTTTGACCTGCCTTTCAAAAACTTATCCTTAGCCATATCCTTTGAACAGGTGGTGCAAGGGCATTCAACTGTATTTCTTGTGAGAAAAGCTTACCTTGGGTACCGACATATTTAATTTGCATTTAAGAAAAGTTTAATCTTCGCTATGTAGCCATACGGGGGCATCAATGATTCACAAACACAACTTATTTTTAATACTTATGCAGTTTGATATGTCACGTATATAGGGATGGGTATCGCCAATACATTCGTATCGCGATATATCACGATTTTTTCCCACAATATCACGATAATATCATGATATTTTTAAAAGAAGTTTTTACAATGATTTTATAGGAAAAGTCATTATTTTTCTAAAAAATATGCTTGAAAAACAAAATTTTACTTTCTTGAATTTATAAAATCAGTTATGTTTGGACGGTAAGACGCCATTCTTTTCACTTTTTACAACACTTTTTACACTTTCTGTAATTGTAATTTGAAAGATCGAACAAATAAATGAATAATTTCTGGACTTTATAATATGTACATAAAGACCGGTATTTAGGTCTCCGTATCACGATACGTATCACGCAACAAAAAAATATACCGGTATACCGATAAAATCGCACATCCCTACACGCCAATCTAACTAGCTTTATTAACCGTAAACTATTGGTGACGATTCTAAAATTATATCTAACACTAAAACAACAATCATTTGCAATTGAAAATCATATGCAACTCTATGGAACGCCAACACTGCCTTATAGCATACAACTATGCATTTATTATGTCAATTTATCATTACGTGATGTGAACATATCTTTACGTTATGTCAATTCTTTATGATATTATGTAAAAATATCTTTACATCATGTCAATGCTGCATTACATGAAGTAAATACATCCTTTCTTATGTCAGCACTTCATAACTTGAAGTCGAAAATTCATTATGTGAAGCGATAATGTGTTTACATTGTGTTAAAACTTTATTACGTGAAATGAATGTTTTTTTACATCATTTCATTTCCTTAATATGAGAGGTCAAAATTGCATTACGTCAAGTGAATTGTGTTTTATAATTAAACTTATCATTACATGAAGTCAAAAATCCATTCCTTTTCGAGAGTGTGTATTTTTATTATATCAATGCATTATTACATGATATGGGTTTATCTTTATTTTACGGCGAGAGCATCATGATGTGAGGTGAACACATCTTACCTTTATGTCAGTGCTTTATTACGTGGTGTAAAAAGTGTATGACATTATGTGAACATATCTTTATATTATATCAACACTTTATCACATTATGTCAAAACTCAATTCCGTGATGTGGATATATACGAGGGTCATTCAAAAAGTTCGTAGACTTTTGTCCTAACTTTTTTATTTAACGTCATATTATATCCGAATTTGGTACAAATATTTTAACAACAGATTCAAATAATTTGAGCAAAAAAATTGGAATGTATCCTCATATTTATTAAAATTACCAAGGATTTAGTACAGCAAAAATGGGGTCACGGAGCACCGTCAAAATTGAGTAATTTTCTAATTTTCACTTTATAGTATTTACAGCTATACCTCTAATAAATGGAGCTGAAATTTAATAAAATTTACATGTTTAAATAAAGTATCGCTGTATTAATTAAAATGAAATCAGGTTATGTAATATCTCGTTCCATTTAAACAGCAGCAAGTAACAGTAAATTTAACTTTTTCTACAAGCTTAAAAAATCCTTATAAATCAGGATCTGTATGAAAAAAATCTGTGTATTTGTATTCAGTTGAAAATACAATTTTTGAGTGGTAGCGAGTTTGAACACATGGATTGTCTGCAAAGAAACAGGTTAAAGTTTAAATATATTGTCAAAAGAGTTAGGAAGTCATTGAACGTGATGTGTGCTTAAATGTTGCAGAAATAATAAAGTTGCATGGTAAATCAAAGAATTTGAAAACAATAACATTCTAATTCAAGCTAAATTTGTACAATTGATAGCAAACCAGGCGTTAAGCAACATATATGTATATGTGTTTTGAAGGGGGAAGACGCAACAAACCGTGTTTGAAATAACAAAAATATGTATACATACTTTTGACAAACTTTCTCAGCGTTGTTTTTGACGTTACAATATTGGTT